CGAAAGTTGTATCACCATGAGATTGAATCTCTTCTTGATCATTTGTTTGGAAAGTTTGATAAAGGAGTAAGGATATTTGGATTATGAGTGAAACTCTGTTTGAGTATGTGTTGGTAACTGAGATTTTCTGCTACTATAGAGACCTGCTAATCTGTTGCAAGCTCGCAATTTGTGGTACACTCTACGTAGCCTGCCTGCTCCCAAATATAGTGACAATTTCTCATATAATGAAGATGAATGGAAGAAGATTCAATGTTGGGTTGAGCAAGCTGTTGGGCAATTGTATGTTACATGAGTATTTTTTGCATAATCTTTTTCTATGGTGAGAGTTGATGGCTTTCTATGATATAGTTTGGATGCCTTCGAATCTTCACGAAACCCGCTGCAACAGAGTGGCTGTCATGAGCATGAGTGGTTTCATGGTTATGTAATTCCTATCTTTCAAAAGGCCCTGGCCTTAGATAGCACTTGCTATGTGCCATGGTGAGTTGTCTGTTTCTTTACACATGTGACATTCAAAGTATTGCCTTGTACTATTGCACTGATCTGGATGAATAGAAATTCATGTGCATGTCTTTGTCCTCAAGGGGAGAAGTCTCGGTCTTGGCATCCCAACGTCGTCGCAATCACAATAAGGACGTTTGCATAGAGAAAGTCGAACGTGCACACATGGCAGATATGCTATGTTCGTATGAACAATATGAGCTTGTCTGTGGACTGTCCTGTGGTGGACCACACTTCTATGATCTTACAAAATTGAGCTCGGATGAGTTTGGTCTTCCACGAATGATGAAAGACATGCTTGATGACATACGATTGAAGTTTCACTGTGCTTCCAAGGATGAGTCACAATTGTATGTTCTTGGATTGCAAGTAAGTTTATGTATTAAGGCACATTTTTGAATCTGGGCACAGAGATTTAATATCAACATGTTTATGTATTACTAGACTTATATGACAGAAATTCGCATTTACTTAATGGATAGATGTGAAGTATATAGGCTCCATTTTGTCAAGACTATTACCCTTCCACTAACATTTCCTGCTTATCGGAACTTAAACTTGAGGACTGCACTGAAATGGGCTTGGAATGTTCGGGTAAATTTATTTCAAATTTGTTTGCCTAGGTGATTCCACCAAGTATTAATAAATTAGCTAACAAATTTCTAGGGAATAGTTAAAGAATTGATCAAAGAAATTGAAAAGGATTCTGACGATGACGATGACAGAGTCAAGACACCATTGTATGAACCTTTGATCATGCCAACCCAGGATACACCCAAAAAGGTCCCAAAGAAAAGGGTGACAAAGAAATGAAGGAAGACACAACACTTTCATATATCTCTACAATCATACTGATAAAGGGGCTGAGCATAATTGAATGCATACACCAGCTCCCATACCATCATAGTCTCTTGCTCTTGCAAAAGAGCGGGCTGAGTTTGAAAATTTCCTCGATGTTTTGTCAATGGCTATTACATCCCTCCATTTGCTACATTTAAGAGGTTGTTCAGAGCGCCACCCAAGAATGGATACCATATGCTTTACCATTTGCGGTTAAAAGGGCGCATATAGATTATGTTTAAGCGGAATAAACAATGTAATTCAAATCCTCTGTTTTAAGTTGGTCGTTAATGAAAGATCATAAAGATCATCCAATTAATTTCAAGTTTAAAAAATCCAAATGCTTAAATTGTGTGTGAGAATATTATTTATGCAATTGTCTATCATATGAAACATCTTTC